CCCCTCATGTCTCGTCATTACGGAAAACAATGTTGTCACAAAGGTTTGGATCCACAAGGGCCTGCAGGACCTAGTGATTCTGTAGGACGAGGGACCGTGGCACTCGCGAGCGAGATGGGAGAAGTTGATCCCTGTGTCCACAGATATGTAATGTACTACTGCCAATTACCATTTTTAACAACCAAGATAAAGAAGCAGAAAATTTGCCTCCTTCCCTCAACTGTTCATTCACATAAAATATACAAATATTTTGACACATCCCACGGCCTCCTGGAGTACATATCACAATCAGCAGTCAGACTTCCTTTAATTAATTCTGGCCAACTGCCAGATGTCTATAGGCAAGAACCCTTTCAATTCGACATTGGTCCTTGTTCAAGACAAAACTATGTAAGTCAAGAGCTCGAAGTGTTCCCATGTCCCCATGTCTCTGTGAGACTGCGACCATTTTGCAGGCCACGCGCGACGTTCACGAGGTGAACGCTCCATGGCGCCGCGTCCTCACCGGCTGGCTCCTCAGTGGCGGTAACTCCACAGGCGTGACCGGATCTCCGCGGTGGCGTGGGGGGCCGGACTCCGGGCCCTTGTCTCCGGAACCGGCCACTGCAGCAGCAAGAAGACAAGAAATCGTGTCACTTCATTCACAACATCTGTAATTGACGAGGAAACCCAGCACAACAGAAACATTAATGCCGGCTGGGAATGGAGTTAGCAAAACACAGAGGTGCACAGCATGGCATGTACAAAGGCCTTATCCAGACCACCAGCGGAAAATAACTGGCTGGCTACATTTTTTCAACTCTTTGAGTTGGTGGTCTAATCGAAACATTGGCCACACGTTATTTTGCACTGGTGGTCTGGAAAAGGCGGAGACCTTTTTACATGCAATGCTGTACACCTTGGTGTGTCGTTGAATATAATCTTATCGCTTAACATTACACTTCATAACGTGTAATCTGTGCCCCACGCTCACACCATCATTCACGCCCCGTGATGTCACCAAACCTCTTGCATTATTGGCCAACTCCACATAATTTAATGTGCTCCACACGCGCAGCACCAGACACCCTGGACTATGGACACCCTGCGCCACACAACCAGCCCTGCACGCCTTGCACCAGACACCCTGGACACTTGACACCCACCACCCCCGAGCAGTGCGTCCTGCACCCCCCTTGCGTGGCCCGCATCGTCCCCGTGGCTGCGAGTCGGGGGTGACACTAAACGCGAATTCGCGGCGTTGGCAAAACTCCCCAATGCGGGGCTCCGCGACCGATTCATGAGACGCGGGCTCCCTCGGGCACTTGCAACGAAGATGTATCCACCCCAGTGGCAACCGACGACTCCTCCGACCACATCACCGCCCGTGTCGCCCCGCTCCTCCCCGGGGCTCCGGTACCTGCTGGGGCTGACGCCGCCTGCAGCGGCCTCCTCGCCACGAACATGGCGACTCTTGCCGGCCCGAGCCCCCAGTCTGCCCCCGTGTCTCCGTGTCTCCCTGTCTCCCCCCCCCCCGTGTCTCCGTGTCTCCCTGTCTCCCCCCCCCCCCGTGTCTCCGTGTCTCCCCCCCCCCCCCGTGTCTCCCTGTCTCCCCCCGTGTCTCCGTGTCTCCCTGTCTCCCCCCGTGTCTCCCCCCGTGTCTCCGTGTACCCGTGTCTCCCTGTCTCCCCCCGTGTCTCCCCCCGTGTCTCCGTGTACCCGTGTCTCCCTGTCTCCCCGTACCCGTGTCTCCCTGTCTCCCCCCGTGTCTCCCTGTCTCCCCCGTGTCTCCCCCCGTGTCTCCCCCTGTCTCCCCCCGTGTCTCCGTGTACCCGTGTCTCCCCCCGTATCTCCGTGTACCCGTGTCTCAGATGACAGACTCTCAATTGTTTGTGCTTCTCGTGTCATGCACCTCTGTTTCCCCTCATCTCTATCTCCCAGTGCCTCGCATTCCCGTATATCTTTCTCTGCCACTCGTGCGTCTCCAGGTCCCTTCGTATATTTGTCTTTCCGTATCTCCGTGTTTATCTCCGTGTCTGTCTCCGAGTATCTGTCTCCGTGTTCAGTGTCTCTCCCCCGTGCCCCTGTCCCCGTGTCTCTGTCTCTCCGTGTCTCTGTCCCCGTGTCTCTCCCCGTGTCTCTGTCCCCGTGTCTGTCCCCGTGTCTCTCCCCCGTGCCCCCGTGTCTCTCCCCGTGTCTCTGTCCCCGTGTCTCTCTCCGCGTGTCTCTGTCCCCGTGTCTCTCTCCGCGTGTCTCTGTCCCCGTGTCTCTCCCCCGTGCCCCTGTCCCCGTGTCTCTGTCTCTCCGTGTCTCTGTCCCCGTGTCTCTCCCCGTGTCTCTGTCCCCGTGTCTCCGCGTGTCTCTGTCCCCGTGTCTCTGTCCCCGTGTCTCTCCCCGTGTCTCCGCGTGTCTCTGTCCCCGTGTCTCCGCGTGTCTCTGTCCCCGTGTCTCTGTCCCCGTGTCTCTGTCCCCGTGTCTCTGTCCCCGTGTCTCTGTCCCCGTGTCTCTGTCCCCGTGTCTTCGCGTGTCCCCGCGAACCGGACCCCGCATCCCAAGATGGCGGCTCCCTCCCTTGCACCGCTCGGCGCCAGCGCCCCGCACCGTCTCCCACTCCCTCGCCTCACGCTCCCTCACACTCCCTCTCACGCTCCCTCTCACACTCACTCACTCCCTCTCACACTCCCTCTCACACTCCCCTCACTCACTCACTCGCCGAGTTCCTCGTCTCTCGCCCCGCGCGTCTCGGCGCCACCGCGTCTCCCTCACGCCGAGCCCAGGGACCGCGGGGGCGGCGTCTCTATGGCGACGCGTGGCCCCGACCTCGGCCCCGGGGACCGTGGCGATTTCACCGCGAGGCTCCATCCAGACCGCCCTCGCGAGGCGGCTGCTGCTGCCCCCCCCCGCGCGCCCCCGCGCCCCCCCCCCCGCGCCCTTGGGTGGTGGCGGCAAGTTGGGTGGTGGTGGTGGGTGGCGGCCTGCAGTGTGGTGGGTGGTGGTGGCGGCAAGTTGGGTGGTGGTGGTGGGTGGCGGTGGTGGGTGGCGGCCTGCAGTGTGGTGGGTGGTGGTGGTGGGTGGCGGCCTGCAGTGTGGTGGGTGGCGGTGGTGGGTGGCGGCCTGCAGTGTGGTGGGTGGTGGTGGTGGGTGGCGGCCTGCAGTGTGGTGGGTGGTGGTGGCGGCAAGTTGGGTGGTGGCGGTGGGTGGCGGTGGTGGTGGCGGCAAGTTGAGTGGTGGCGGCAAGTTGGGTGGTGGCGGCAAGTTGGGTGGTGGCGGCAAGTTGAGTGGTGGCGGCAAGTTGGGTGGTGGCGGCAAGTTGGGTGGTGGTGGTGGGTGGCGGCCTGCAGTGTGGTGGTGGTGGGTGGCGGTGGTGGTGGTGGGTGGCGGTGGTGGGTGGCGGCCTGCAGTGTGGTGGGTGGTGGTGGCGGCAAGTTGGGTGGTGGTGGTGGCGGTGGTGGTGGTGGGTGGCGGCCTGCAGTGTGGTGGGTGGTGGTGGCGGCAAGTTGGGTGGTGGTGGTGGCGGTGGTGGTGGTGGGTGGCGGCCTGCAGTGTGGTGGGTGGTGGTGGCGGCAAGTTGGGTGGCGGTGGTGGGTGGCGGTGGTGGGTGGCGGTGGTGGGTGGCGGCCTGCAGTGTGGTGGGTGGTGGTGGCGGCAAGTTGGGTGGTGGTGGTGGCGGTGGTGGTGGTGGGTGGCGGCCTGCAGTGTGGTGGGTGGTGGTGGTGGGTGGCGGCCTGCAGTGTGGTGGGTGGTGGTGGTGGGTGGCGGCCTGCAGTGTGGTGGGTGGTGGTGGCGGCAAGTTGGGTGGTGGCGGTGGGTGGCGGTGGTGGTGGCGGCAAGTTGAGTGGTGGCGGCAAGTTGGGTGGTGGCGGCAAGTTGGGTGGTGGTGGTGGGTGGCGGCCTGCAGTGTGGTGGGTGGTGGTGGCGGTTGAGTCGCGGTGTGTGTCACTCAAAGGCTCACGCGCCCATAGTTGGTTCATTAAGACGTGTGTGTGTGTATTGTTAGTTTAACACGTAGGCTTTCGCGACCAGTTTATTGTTACGAGATAATTCAGAGTAAAGTCACCTACTTTTAAAAGTTAAGTAAAAAAATGTATTACCAATAACATTAAACATTTACTAATTGTCCAGGAAAGCCATGCTGAGTCCTCTGAATCTCTTTCAGGATGGTCCTGCATTTTTTTATTTTAAGATGTTTCGAGACTGTTTATATCATGGGACCTTCTTTGCCAGTGTCAAAATATGATTATCGGTTTTCCCCTTTTTTTCTGGCAATAACAGGTGTCAGGATGTTAAAACACCAAACTGAAACCTTTTACAAGGACAGTATATGCAGCATATATGCATATACTTGTTTTGATTCCTTGCAAAAAGGTTTCAGTTTGGTGTTTTTACATCCTAACACCTGTTTTGTTGCCAGAAAAAATGGGAAAACCTCTTCTTACGGTATTTATACGCGAGGGGGAAACACTATTCCCTTACGGATGGAAACAGATGGCGAGAAGTCGACTTGCTGTAACTGCCTTCCAGCGAGCGAGGCCATGGAACCTCGACACTCGCGCGGTGATCCCACCAACCCTGGCTGCTGCTGCCGCCTCCCGGCAGAGCTGCATTGGAGGCCACGTGCTGCAGCACAGCCAGCACCGCCTGGCCGGGAGGAATCGTACCGAGCTGACAATCGATGTCAACTCCCGTGGCTGAGCTCAAGCGGGCAGCTTCGCCATCCGGAATGTTGCAAGTTCAAATCCTGGTTGAGAGTGGACTCAGCCCACCATTCCTTCGGGGGTCGATTAAATACCAACTTTGTGGGGAAGCCAACCGCGGTCGTCCTCTGGGTCGACACTCACCCCGACATAGGAATGAAGAATTTCCACACGAGCTCCGATGCCTTATTGTTCATCGTAGCCGGAGCTCGCTTGGACTCGACACACCGTCTTGGGTACTTGGTGCCCACGGGAGGTGGACGCGGGGCACAAACACATCCCTCTCGCTCTTACTGTGCGAACGCAATGCAACTGTAAACACCAGGAGAGTTTTTTGCTTGTATTTATTATGAAATGAAACATTCAAATACAAAAAAGCATACAAATGTATGTCATGTTGTAGCACAACGGAAAAGTGGAGTTTGTTCAACTCTTTGGTAATAATCTTATTTTAATTCCACTGTATACCGAGGGCCACTGATCGCAGCCGTTCCTTTTCAGTGTTGCTGTGCTGTACTTCCTTCTACTGGCGAGCCAGGGTATGGCTCCTCCTCTTCAATGCCCATGGGAAAGAAGTGTTGCAACATGTGTGACCCACCAACCCTTGCCTTCAAAGTGCGAGATTACAGGCTACGTGCATAGCCACCAACAACATCCTGCTACATTACCAATGGCACGTTCTGGTAATTTACAGTAGAAATATGTGGACGGCTATATAGACTTTGGAATTAAGGCTGCATGAATGATGAGTTCAGTTGATGTGTAACGAGCTGAGAACTCAACAGACCAGAATGAGTCTCACTGCAAGAGTGAGCGGGGTAAAGCAAGGTTGTCATTATGCTTGTTTAACCAGGAAAGAGGGTCCTGCCAAGTTTTGGCAGTAGGGGGCAATGTTGCTGCTATGTGTGATCCCAATTCAGGAATTTGTAGGTAATCTTTTAGCATTGAGATGCTTGGCCAATGCCAGGAAACAAAATTTAAGACAGAGGCGCCAGAGTCAAACCCGGTCGCAACTTGCAGTGTGGCACAAGCATCACCACAGGCGCAACTTGCAGTGTGGCACAAGCATCACCACAGGCGCAACTTGCAGTGTGGCACAAGCATCACCACAGGCGCAACTTGCAGTGTGGCACAAGCATCACCGCAGGCGCAACTTGCAGTGTGGCACAAGCATCACCACAGGCGCAACTTGCAGTGTGGCACAAGCATCACCGCAGGCGCAACTTGCAGTGTGGCACAAGCATCACCACAGGCGCAACTTGCAGTGTGGCACAAGCATCACCACAGGCGCAACTTGCAGTGTGGCACAAGCATCACCACAGGCGCAACTTGCAGTGTGGCACAAGCATCACCACAGGCGCAACTTGCAGTGTGGCACAAGCATCACCACAGGCGCAACTTGCAGTGTGGCACAAGCATCACCACAGGCGCAACTTGCAGTGTGGCACAAGCATCACCACAGGCGCAACTTGCAGTGTGGCACAAGCATCACCACAGGCGCAACTTGCAGTGTGGCACAAGCATCACCACAGGCGCAACTTGCAGTGTGGCACAAGCATCACCACAGGCGCAACTTGCAGTGTGGCACAAGCATCACCACAGGCGCAACTTGCAGTGTGGCACAAGCATCACCACAGGCGCTGCCACCCTGCTGCACAGCGAGTGGAGTGAACGCGCATTTGAAGGCAGCAGAGACGCAGACCGCCCACCCCGTCGTGCACACTGGTGACAGTGCTACTCTTTCTTTGAGCGCATCGCTTGCGCGGGCCTGGCTTGCGGCCGCACGAGCCTCCAAGGCACCATCACGACTGTGACGGCCGCCAGCAGCAGTAACGCGGCGTGTGCGGGGTGGTAGGCCAGCCAGCTGAGCGCAACGACGGTCACCGAGAGCGACACGGCGCCGATTGCCGCAAACACCGACAGGCCAAGGTTCACGAGGTCACGCACCAGCGGCAGCCAATCCACTGCAGAGGCCAAAGGGACACACGCACACGCCCGCCCTCAACGTCTTAGTCACCACCACACACCGCTCGCATTTCGGACAAAAATTCACGCAGTTCTCAATCGATATTGGTTAATTCCATACAAACACCCGCAAATACGGCACGTCTAAAGTGTCCCTGCTGCTGCTGGCCGGGGCATTTCTTACCGAGCGTGTGGACGATGTTGACCATGAGCCTGATAGCCAAGTACATGAGAAGCAGGCCGGCAGCACGCAGTGCCCAGCTCAGCTGCCGGTTGCTCTGGTGCTCCAGCTCAAAGAGCTCCTGCGGGGAGGCAGAGAGCCATCATAATAGAGCACCATCGCTTTGAGACCCGGAGCGCAGGTGCTACAGAGGAAGCAGCAGCATTGGTGGCCCTAACCTCTTGACCTTGCATAACAATAATCGACGTCGTCCTGGAGAATAAAATTAACTAAATAAACAAGCGGACAATACACGCTGCATTCACATCCCATCGGCCACACCTGGGAGTGCACCACGACAGTAGCGTTGGCTCAACGCAAGCGAGACTCTGGACTGGTTTCGACATCCAGTGTCTCATCAGCAGAGTGAGGCTTGCGTCACCTTACAAATAGTTCTCTTCAGAGTAGTTTATTACCACACTCAGTGGCTGAATGGCAGCAGGAGCTCCTCCATCCCTATCTTCAGTTTAACCACCGGCCAAGTGGCTCGGTGCGAGTGGCTCACAGCAATCGGAATGTTCTGAATTAAAATCCTCACTTGGGGTCGACTCAGCGTGTGTAATCGTCCCTCCGGAGTCAATAAAATAAGCACCACTTTGTGGGGAAGTCAACAGAGGTTATCCTACGGATAGACTCACCCCCACCATATGAATATGGAATTTCCATCACTGGCTCTGCAGGGCTGCGAATGAAAGAGGAGCGTCATGCCTCGATGCTCACTCCGACATTTACCCCATTGAGCTGGGCGATGAAAGCCCAGCTCCGTCGCCCCAAGTTGCTTGGCGGCGACGCCCGTGCCCCACAATGAGAACCATCCTGGGGGCACGATTCCCAACTCAGGCGCCTCTCTGTACATTCTCTCCCCGCTCGGCATGGGTTTTCTCCACGTTCTCCAGTTTTCCTTCCATCGCTAACAACACACAATGTAACTGTCACTGGCTAAATATCTCGATGCTGAAAAATGACCTGCAATTTACTCAACTGGGACCACACAGCAGCAGCAACAATGCCCCCCCCCCACCTGCAAAAAGTTGGCAAGACCTTTCTGAAAGAGTCTTGAGACTCGGGAAGGCAGCTTTCCTGGGAAAACAAGTTGAACAATAATGATCAAGAAGGTGTTTATGTAGTTGTGCTGCCACAAGCTTGGGCGGTTTGCAGCACCTGGGCAGAGAATCGGCCCGGGTGGAGGAGAGCCAGGGAGCTCCCAGACTTTGTTGCGTGAGCCACCAGCTGCTCGCCTTGCTGCTTGGCGATGATGGACACCTGCACAGAGATACGGCCAATGCTGGGTGGGGCCTTCAGAAGCCGACAATAAACACATACATCCCCGTATAGCTTCAACAGATTCTTGGGGCAAGTTGTGTTAGCGAGCACCTATGAAAGGCAAAACAGCACACGAAAGGGTGGGTGGCCAGCACACTCGGCTGCTGCCTTTGTCTCCCCAGTGGCGATGTTTATAAACCGCACTAGATACTCATTTGAGGCTGAGTTGACCTGAGGGAGGCCCAGGACCGGTTCAGACAATCGTCACTGGTGTTGGCCGCGAGCGGGAATCGAACTTGGGTCACCAAATTCGTAGTGCAGTGCGCTAACTGCTGCATCACCGCTCCCCACAGAGGCTGACAGCCACACACCCACACACGTCGCCAAGCATACATCCCAATCGTCAAGCGGCCAGCAACCAAATCAACTATTAGAGTAGTATGCAGTAAGCGTTAACACGCTTCTTGACGTTAGCAAGGTTATTCCTGAAAGATCTTGGGGAAAGGGAACAATGACAAGTGTGAGGGACGAAGCAGAGTGGGTGGTGAGTTAGTTGTTGGGTGGGCGAGTGGGTCTGAGTATGGGTGAGTGGGAGAACGAGCGCTTGAGATGTTGTGGTGTGCAGTGTGGTTGGTGAACACGGTGTGGATGAATGAGGTGAAACGGTCAGTGTCTGGCCAACCGAGTCCTCAACACGGGTGGGAGAATCGAGGAGCGATGCTCACAAGAGCACGAAGTCTCTCATATTTCGTAAAAACTACAGCAGACAGCTCGAGGGCGCCGTTGTCCAAATGGCTGTCTGTTATTTCGCTTGCGGTTTCACTTTCCTGAATCAGTTTGTCCCCCCGAGTGAACACTCCAAATAAACCTCGTACCTCCTCACCATCCTCTCCACTCGAGCCGGCAGAGGAGAAGGACACGCGGAGGTCGCCCACCTGCGCGTACTGATGCACGCCGCACGACAACACACGACAAATGCATGTCCATGCTGCAACACGATGCCCGGCGGCCTTCAAGACAAGTGAACACGTTGACGCGGCCCAGCGGTGTTAAGCTGGCCGCTCGTTGCAAAGGTTCGCAATTAAAATCTCGCAGGCCGCCCCGGTTAATACTGCGGGTGTAATGAAGCGCAAAATACTACACGCCATCTGCTTCGCAGTGCACACACTCTTAGGTTTTTTCGGTAAAGTCACATAGGTAAAAAATAATAATAAAAGAATAAGAAATGAAAATAACTAAATTAAATCACGACGTTTCGGAGGCAACACAAGTCTCCGTCTTCAGGTGGGACCGTCACAGCCAAATTTACTGTATCAAGTGAAGAGAAATCCAAGAGACAAGATCTTATATACTGGTTAAGGGGAGGGGGCTTATCTAAATGTGGCAGTCAGGGACTGGGAGGGTGGGGGGCTAGAAGGGAAGGTGGGCGGGGCTAGAAGAGAGGGTGGGGGGCTAGAAGGGAAGGTACAAATGAAGAACCTCACAGGGGTTACGGCCGATTTTGGCTGCCAAATACAAAATAGCAGCACTGTTAAACGCTGGGGATGTCAGCAACTCGGTAAAATAGACTAGTACCTGTCAGATAAGATGGTACAAATATGCGTTATTAAATCTTTTTTACATGGTTAATAACATCTTTCCAATGATTTCTCAATTTGTATCTATCATCACGGTTGAAGTTATGTCTATGTTTGTATATCTGGATGGCTTCGTGGACAAACCTTTGATGGTAGCCAGAAGGTTTGCAGAGCACCTTGGTCTCGGAAAAGACAATGTCATGAGAGCCCACAGCGTTGTAACAATGATCGGCAATGGCAGAAGACTCAGTTTTGCCGTGTTTCAGATCTGACTTGTGCTCGCGGACACGATCAGAGACATGACGTTTCGCAGTGCATGTTGAAGATGCCGTCACGTCCTTTCAAAAGAGTCGGCGATCGTGTATCGGCGTCACGGTCCACCTTTGTAAAATTTGAACAAATGACACTAAAATTACTCAACTAGAATCAGACGCACAGCATCATCATCACCCCCGAGTGCGAAACCTCTGCAGACTGCGCCTGGGAAACACAGCGGCGCCTTCCTCTGCGTCGGTCTGGCGCTACGAGAACGACATCATTTGACTTTGACTCCCTCGGCAAATAGCGGCCGCGTTGCCTCACCTGGCCCGGGTGGTAGCGGTGGTAAAAGTGATTGTCGTGGATCTCCGTGTCGGCATTGGGCGGACTCATCCCGAGCAGGGCTATGGGCCGGAACCAGGTGATCTTCTCCAGGAGTTCTGCGGTAGAGCACCCGGCGTGACCGTGAACACGGCTCACCCCGCGACATTCTCACGCCGTGAGCCGACCGAAGACCCTCCCCGTGATACGAGGCCTGGCCCGAGGCAAAACAGCACGACGCGCAACAACCACGGGCGTCGTTGTGGGGAACGGAAGAAACTAGACAAGCAGATGGGGGAGGCTCCTGGCTGCACGTCTCTCCACGCGAAAGACGCGAGTGGTGCGGGGCCAGGGTGAACGGTCACCTGCAGAGAGGAGGAGCCGGCCCACGCGTGCGTCCGAGGCCACGGCCGTGAGGCTCTCCACCGCCATGATGCTGCAATACAATCACACGCACGGCGTCACGGAGCACGGCGTCACGAGGGCGGTGGCGGTGAGGTCAGAACACTCGCGCCATGCTTGTTTAATATGATTAAGGTACCAGGTGGGAGTGGTCTGCATCTTAGCACACAGTATGTAAATCTAGCACAGCAGGATGGAAAAGTGGTGATGCTGGTGCCTCAGCAAGAAGTGTCTCGGTTAAATTCAACAGTCTGTTAACAATCTTGATTTGAAGCTTTCGTGACTGCAGGAATCCATACTCTTTGGTTCTTTCGGTAAAGTCACGTAGGTAGAAAATAAAATGAATCACGACGTTTCGGGCGCAACACAAGCGTCCGTCATCAGGTGAGAAAGCATGGTCTGCTGCTGAGTCAGACTGTTTTAAAAGGCTTGAAATGTGTGTAGCCCAAGGGTCATAAAGAAGTGGTCGGGGCTAGTGATGTTTATGTGAGAAATTAGCATGTAAATGTAAGATCGGAGAGCGGCCTCCTCGACGAGGGCACGGAAGTGGCTATGTCAATGTGAGAGATTAGCATGTTAATGTAAGATCGAATAGTGGCTTCTATGAGGCAAGAGCGTCAACGCAAGAGAACCACCGCAACAGTGGCCATGCCAGTGAGACACACAGCCCATAACACAATAAGAACCAACGATACATCGAGGCTAAGGGAGCAGTAGTGGCCATGTTAGCGAGACCCCAGCCCGTTAATGCAAAGGCATCCCACAGGGCAATGCAACTCAGTCGGAGATAACAGCCAAACGGCAGGAAGGATGGAAGCATCACAGCGAGTTATGACTTTACCTGGAGAGGCGAGTCTGTTAAGACTATCTATATACAGGAATCTTTGCGTTGTGTGATGCTGTGGTTGTCAGTCGGTAACAATGCTGTGGTGGCTGTGTGCCATGCTAATCGGCATTACCCTCATGGCACTCACAGCTGCCACATATGTATGTTTATATATAGAACTTATTTTGCACCGTACGAAGCCAACCGCACTAATTGGAGGTGCGAGGGGCTGGTGACACCTCCACAGGGAGAGGCGAGGAGGGAGATCGGAGAGGTGAGGGGAGAATGGGGGGGTGAGGTGAGCGGGAGAGTAGCGCTGGGTCACCTGGGGTTCTGGTGGCCAAATTCTTTGTCGAAGTTGCGGCTGTTGACCACGTCGCTGCGCCACTCTGTGTCTGAAGAGACAACGCGACCGAGATAGCCAGTTGTTTGTAATGCAGCATTTATGCGACGTGAAGATCAAGGGACGAGGGGACGAGTTCAGGTCTTGATGGTGGTGTTTCAGCTCTGTACAATTCAGTGTCTCTATTGGCAATCGGGCTTCTCTTGCAACTGTGTCTCGTCGGAGACGACCCCCGTCAGGTACGGCTCCTGGTTCTAGGCAAAGCCATTGAATACACAACAAAGAACGAGCACAAGTGACGGCGAGGAGACGCCCTCCGCGAAGGCACTGGCGGCGTGTTTGTGCCCAACAGGCGAGGAGCAGCTCCGCTCAAAACGGGGCCCCAGACAGACACTCACCATACGAGTACCTGGCTTCTCGTTTCACGTCGCTCCCCTCCTTGTACTCCCTGCACAACGAGAACGCACACCGTGACACGGCGCTACGCACCGACAGCCCCAGAGTGGCCCCTATCCAGCACACAGCATTGCAACGAGACGCGGCCAGGAGAAACACCCGACCCCATGGCGTTCCAGCGGGGTCCTCTCTGGACGAAGCGATCCCACTCGAGCCAGGATAAACATGCGTGGTAAACGTGGCGATTGGCGAGTCCGGCGAGCGCGTGGCGAATGTGGCGAGCGGTGTGGTCGGGTCTGCACCTGCCATCTTCGTGCTCCACCCACTGGTACATCTCCACGTGGCGCCGCAGCTTCACGGCGTGCACGCGAACGCCGTAGTTGGGGTCGTACAGTGGCTGAGCGAGGCAGCGAGATGCAGCGCGTTAGACACCCGTTACCGTCATTATCATCATTGTTATCTTTACCATCGTTATCATCATCACAATCAGTCATCTTTGCAGTCATTGTAATCACCACCACCAATACCATCATCACTGTCATCATCATTTTCATTGCCGTGTTTGTTTTGATGTAATATTGGTATCTTTGTAATTTGTTTTTGTTGCTGCTGTGCTCACTTCCGTGTACAATAGTTAAGCAACCAGGTAGACGGGACCACCATCCCTGTAACAAAGTAAACCAAAGCAAAATCACTCGTAACGCTGCGAAAGAAAGCATGTTGAGCACATTTTTTTACAGACAAGTGGGAAATCAGGCCAGAGCCGGCACTAACAATCGCCCAAGCTCTGTGGTCCTATAGTGGGATGTCTGGCCAACGCCATGAATTTATGTTTATACGAGTGGGAAGAATATGGAGTACCCGGAGAAAACCCACCCTTTATTTAACCAGGATATGTAATAAACCCATTGAGATGTACGACCTCTTGCGCAGCATCAGCAGCAGCGATGGCACGGAGGACAACAGCAGCGCGCAGCAGTCTACATAATGGCAGCAGCAGCTACAGCAGCTACAGCAGCATTCACTCAGCAGTGGCACGCAGCAAAACACCAGCAACAGCACAGAAGCTGCTGCTGTACAACAGCAGCAGTGGTGGTGTGACATCGTTCAGGATTTTTCAGGCCCCATGCTGCTTGTATAATGTTCTGGGGCTCAGTTTTTCTCCTTGTAATGTCACCCAGTAGCAGCTGCTGGTGGAATGGAAGCAGCAGCGAACCTTCTCCGTACGAATCGGCCCGGACAGGTGGACGAGCTGCCCCTCGAACTCGCTCGCCACCGAGACCGGGGCCTGCGGGAGGCTTTTCACAACGGCCAGACCCTCGTCCAGAGCAGCGGCAGTCTTCACGGCACGTCCCTGCACACACGAGCACAGAGACACGGCACACGGAGACACGGGCACACACACAGAGACACGAGGTACAGCCAGGTGCAGGTGGTTGTACACGTGTCAGTATGTAAATGAAGATTATTGGGCTTGTTTAACCAGGGAACCCTCACCGAGTCTTCACTTTTTTTCAGGAGGGTCCTGCCACGTCTCCGCAGTAGGGGGCAATGCTGCTCTGTGATCCCAATTGAGTCATTTGCAGTCAGTTTTTCGGCATTTGGATGCTTGTCCAATACCAGTTACACTTTGTGGGGTTTTCAGGTATGGGAGGAATCCGGCAAACCCGGAGAAACCCCACACTGAACAGGGGGGAGAGCGAACAAACAACCCCCACACAGAGAGGCACCCGAGTCAGGAATCGAGCCCAGGACGCGTCCTGGCCCCGAGGCACGAGTGTCGCCACCACCGCGCTGCCCCCCGAGCGAGGCGGGACGCGTCTCGCCCTCATCCTCCTCCTCTCCCCCTCCTCCTCTCCCCCTCCTCCTCCTCTCCGGCTGCCGCTCGTCAGCGCCGCAGGAGGCGCGCACCTCGTTGGTGACGAGGAGGAAGACGGCACCCAGCAGCAGCAGCGCGCCCGCGGCGGTGCCCACGGCGCTCCGTCCCATGCGCTCCAGGAACCCGGTCGCCTCCTCCAGGGCGTGGGGGGGCGAAGCCTGAACCACCACGCGGGAACAAGTCACACACGAACCACCGCGCGGGAACAAGTCACACACGAACCACCACGCGGGAACAAGTCACACACGAACCACCACGCGGGAACAAGTCACACACGAACCACCAGGCGGGAACAAGTCACATACGAACCACCAGGCGGGAACAAGTCACACACGAACCACCACGCGGGAACAAGTCACACACGAACCACCAGGCGGGAACAAGTCACACACGAACCACCACACGGGAACAAGTCACACACGAACCACCGCGCGGGAACAAGTCACACACGAACCACCGCGCGGGAACAAGTCACACACGAACCACCACGCGGGAACAAGTCACACGAACCACCACGCGGGAACAAGTCACACACGAACCACCACGCGGGAACAAGTCACACACGAACCACCAGGCGGGAACAAGTCACACACGAACCACCGCGCGGGAACAAGTCACACACGAACCACCAGGCGGGAACAAGTCACACACGAACCACCGCGCGGGAACAAGTCACACACGAACCACCGCGCGGGAACAAGTCACACACGAACCACCACGCGGGAACAAGTCACACACGAACCACCACGCGGGAACAAGTCACACACGAACCACCAGGCGGGAACAAGTCACACACGAACCACCAGGCGGGAACAAGTCACACACGAACCACCAGGCGGGAACAAGTCACACACGAACCACCGCGCGGGAACAAGTCACACACGAACCACCGCGCGGGAACAAAAAAAAGTCACACACGAACCACCACGCGGGAACAAGTCACACACGAACCACCACGCGGGAACAAGTCACACACGAACCACCAGGCGGGAACAAGTCACATACGAACCACCAGGCGGGAACAAGTCACACACGAACCACCACGCGGGAACAAGTCACACACGAACCACCAGGCGGGAACAAGTCACACACGAACCACCACGCGGGAACAAGTCACACACGAACCACCAGGCGGGAACAAGTCACACACGAACCACCGCGCGGGAACAAGTCACACACGAACCACCGCGCGGGAACAAGTCACACACGAACCACCACGCGGGAACAAGTCACACACGAACCACCGCACGGGAACAAGTCACACACGAACCACCAGGCGGGAACAAGTCACACACGAACCACCGCGCGGGAACAAGTCACACACGAACCACCGCGCGGGAACAAGTCACACACGAACCACCGCGCGGGAACAAGTCACACACGAACCACCGCGCGGGAACAAGTCACACACGAACCACCGGGCGGGAACAAGTCACACACGAACCACCACGCGGGAACAAGTCACACACGAACCACCAGGCGGGAACAAGTCACACACGAACCACCACGCGGGAACAAGTCACACACGAACCACCAGGCGGGAACAAGTCACACACGAACCACCACGCGGGAACAAGTCACACACGAACCACCAGGCGGGAACAAGTCACACACGAACCACCGCGCGGGAACAAGTCACACACGAACCACCGCGCGGGAACAAGTCACACACGAACCACCACGCGGGAACAAGTCACACACGAACCACCGCACGGGAACAAGTCACACACGAACCACCAGGCGGGAACAAGTCACACACGAACCACCGCGCGGGAACAAGTCACACACGAACCACCGCGCGGGAACAAGTCACACACGAACCACCGCGCGGGAACAAGTCACACACGAACCACCGCGCGGGAACAAGTCACACACGAACCACCGGGCGGGAACAAGTCACACACGAACCACCACGCGGGAACAAGTCACACACGAACCACCACGCGGGAACAAGTCACACACGAACCACCACGCGGGAACAAGTCACACACGAACCACCACGCGGGAACAAGTCACACACGAACCACCAGGCGGGAACAAGTCACACACGAACCACCGCGCGGGAACAAGTCACACACGAACCACCGCGCGGGAACAAGTCACACACGAACCACCGCGCGGGAACAAGTCACACACGAACCACCGCGCGGGAACAAGTCACACACGAACCACCGGGCGGGAACAAGTCACACACGAACCACCACGCGGGAACAAGTCACACACGAACCACCAGGCGGGAACAAGTCACACACGAACCACCGCGCGGGAACAAGTCACACACGAACCACCGCGCGGGAACAAGTCACACACGAACCACCACGCGGGAACAAGTCACACACGAACCACCGCGCGGGAACAAGTCACACACGAACCACCGCGCGGGAACAAGTCACACACGAACCACCGCGCGGGAACAAGTCACACACGAACCACCAGGCGGGAACAAGTCACACACGAACCACCAGGCGGGAACAAGTCACACACGAACCACCGCGCGGGAACAAGTCACACACGAACCACCGCGCGGGAACAAGTCACACACGAACCACCGCGCGGGAACAAGTCACACACGAACCACCGCGCGGGGACAAGTCACACACGAACCACCGCACGAGAACAAGTCACACAACACAGAAACAAAGTCACAAGAACCAGCAACAGACGTCACTAAACACACAGAAACCAATAATCACGCCACAGGAACGAACCCGAACCCGTGTAAATGCAACACCGCGAGACTGATGAGAGACGCCGCAGCCCGGGAGGGACCCAAGCCACGTGGGGGGGGGGGGGGGTGACCGTAGGGGTTGGTGGTGTGGCAGCAGAAGGGTGGATGATGGGGCAGCGGGGAGCGAACTTCGCAACGAACCCAGCGACCCGAGTTCGATTCCGCTAGCGACGATGATCTGAACTGGTCCTGGGCCTCCCCTAGATCAACTCGGCCTTAAATTAGTGTCTGGTACGATGTGTAAAACGTCGCTAATCGGGAGACAAAAGCGGCTGGGCAAGGTGCAAGCCACCCACCCACCCGGCCTCCATCGGCGCTACTCGCTCACGGCACTGGCCCCGACAGCCGTTCACGGACACAGGGGGGGGGGGGGGGGGGGGTCCTTGTTCTTAGTGGTTGAGAGTCAATGAGTGTGCGAGGGGGTATGGAGAAGAGAGTATAGAGAGAGGGGGGTTGTAGAGAGAGGGGGTAGAGAGAGACGGGGGGGTATGGAGACGGGGGGGGGGGGTAGAGAGAGACGGGGGGTATGGAGACGGGGGGGGGGTAGAGAGAGACGGGGGGGGGGGTGTGGGGAGAGAGGGGGGTAGAGAGAGGACGGGGGGTATGGAGACGGGGGGGGGGGGTTAGAGAGAGACGGGGGGGGGGGGGCGTGGGGAGAGAGGGGGTAGAGAGAGACGGGGGGTATGGAGACGGGGGGGGGTTAGAGAGAGACGGGGGGGGGGGCGTGGGGAGAGAGGGGGGTTAGAGAGAGACGGGGGGTATGGAGACGGGGGGGTATGGAGACGGGGGGGGGGTAGAGAGAGACGGGGGGGGGTGTGGGGAGAGAGGGGGTAGAGAGAGACGGGGGGTATGGAGACGGGGGGGGGGGTAGAGAGAGACGGGGGGGGGGGGGGGCGTGGGGAGAGAGGGGGTAGAGAGAGACGGGGGGTATGGAGACGGGGGGGGGGGTAGAGAGAGACGGGGGGGGGGGGGGCGTGGGGAGAGAGGGGGTAGAGAGAGACGGGGGGTATGGAGACGGGGGGGTATGGAGACGGGGGGGGGTAGAGAGAGACGGGGGGGGGTGTGGGGAGAGAGGGGGTAGAGAGAGACGGGGGGTATGGAGACGGGGGGGGTAGATAGAGACGGGGGGGGGGTGGGGAGAGAGGGGGTAGAGAGAGACGGGGGGTATGGAGACGGGGGGGGGTAGAGAGAGACGGGGGGGGGGGGTGGGGAGAGGGGATCAGCGTCTCGTACCCGCTCTCGCTGCGCCATGGTTGGCAGTCCGCGTCTCTTGGGACCGCACTGCGCATGCGCAACTGACGCGGTTGAGGGGAGGGGCGCAGCTCACGCTCGGAGGGGGCGCGCGCCACGTGGCGACGTCACGGGACGCGTGGCGCATGCGCAGTGATGCGCGAGGCCGCACGCGGTCGCTGGTGTCCACGTGCTCGCGCGGGTTCCTCCCCAGAGGTGGTGGTTGATGGTTGTGGTGGTTGATGGTTGTGGTGGTTGATGGTTGTGGTGGTTGATGGTTGTGGTGGTTGATGGTTGTGGCGGTTGATGGTTGTGGCGGTAGTGGGGGGCACAGCTGGTGCGTCTGTCAGTCAACCCATGGCACCTGGGTCTTTCCCGTGACCTGCCAGCCGGCCTTCGACGCTTCACGTGGCCTCAAAGCGCACATAGCCCGATCACATCCGACACCAATTACGATTAATTGAACCGATCCTGGGCATCCCCTAGGTCAACTGGGCCTCAAATGAGTACCTGGTGCGGCCACTCGGGAGACAAAGGCGGCCGGGCGTGGTGGTGACTCTCCATCCCCTCGTTTGCTATTCTGGCCTTCAGCGGTGCTCGCTAATAGCGCTTGCCCCAAAAGTCTGTAAACACGGATGGGGGGGGGTTCTTTGGTGGTGGTGACACTGATATCGCTCATGCGCAGTGCCTTCCACAAAAACACGTCCCTAACCCCAAAGGGCTGTACAAGCTCAAACAACAATTGGTGAAGGTGTTATCCCTCCACCGTCACCAACATCACCTCCACTCCATCCCTTCATCTCGACCGCCATCGTCCACATTCAGAAAAGTGTCAAGTTTGATGATTTCTACGTGGATATTCATTTTTATTGAAGTGCAACACGTTCAAATGTCATTCGTCTCAAACCAATAACTTCATTTAACAGCCATCAGTTTTTGATACTGCACTCACAGTGCCACACAAGAACAAATGATTAAAATTAACAAGTCAACACTGCGGCCTTAAAATGGTTGATATCCGGACGCCGCGTCTGGCCCTTGTGTGCTCTGAAGTAGGGGGTTGACCCAAAACGTTGCCCATTATGCATGCTCTCCGGCTAAGGCCGCAGCGTGACTGGCGGATCTGCTGAGTTGCTATTTCAACAAAGTCTGGCGTGGAGACGCGACCCAGCGTTCGCACTTTTATTGCGTGTTGCAGAGGTTCACGATTCGACACCGGCTGGCCACCCCGGTTAATACCTTAAGTGTATAACACGTGTGCCGTCTGCTTCACAGTAGATGTTAAAAGTCCCGTGCCATCATTCGAAACGATGAGGCTACTGTGTGACCGCTTCACAGTCTAATTTTGCCAAAAAAACTGGCACCGCAAATTACTCAATCGGGATCACATCAAGTTCAAGTTCATTTATTAGGTATAGCCCTATAGCAACAGCATCGCTGCTGCTATATGCAACAAAATGTAAATTGCTTTGAAGTCGCTCATTAATTGATTAATTGATGCCGATTTTGATACATGCGTGCATTGTCATCCGAGTACGTGTGCAAACTTTGGAATTGATTGGACATCAGGAAGTAGACTAAATGTTGATTACAAGATTTGACCACGACAAACAGGAATCAAGTAAAACTGCTGAAAAAAGCGCGCGAGGCGCCATCTTCAGCAGAGTTGGAAGGAGGTCGATCCGAGCTGGGGCGTCTGCTGGGCCCCGAGGAGCCGATCAGTGACGGACGGGAGTGGAGAGATGTTCGTCACACTTCGGGGGAATAATGTTTAGAAATATTTTGGAGACGGAGAGAAAGACGGACCCAGGAGCAGGTTTGCAACGTGTATTGAATGCAGCTGTGCACACACACGCCATGCTTTGGGCCATAGCCATTTAAGTTTGCAAATGTTATCTACGAGGTCAAGGCAGAAAGTAATTTTACATTGTTGACATTTCATGCTTCAAGTAAATTGGTTAACTGGTTATGGTGTTTTCCAAATTTCGAGGATGTACATTACATTTTAAAGGTACATTACTGGCTCGTGTGTGATCATATTTTATATTTAAATTTTCAGGCAGAGAGAGATAGAGTCAAGAAACGTGATTAGCAGGTAGTTTCAGATTCCTTCAGTTAGAGACAATCCTGGACAATCGTGATTAGCAGGTAGTTTCAGATTCCTTTAGTTAGAGACAGTCCTGGACAATCGTGATTAGCAGGTTGTTTCAGATTCCTTCAGTTAGAGACAGTCCTGGACAATCGTGATTAGCAGGTTGTTTCAGATTCCTTCAGTTAGAGACAATCCTAGACAAATGTTTTTTGCAGGTTACAGATTCCTTCAGTTAGAGTCCTGGAACTGAGTTTTCAGGTAGATTGTTTTACACAGGAAGTGTATGAACAGGTTTCAATGTTTCAGGCAGTGTTTGATATAGGAAATGTATCAACGGGTTTCCAGCCTTTCAGGTCGAGGTTTGATCTAGGAAGCGTGGCGTAGAGGAGCCGGCGGGCAATCAGTGCTCGGCGGGGACTGCGGGCACGCTGGCCAGGGCTGGCAGGATGCCCGCGTACACGTCGATGCCACGCAGGAACACGGCTTCGCTCACAAACTCGTTGTGGTCGTGGAGCAGGATGGGTGTGCGGTTCATCGGAGAGAAGCCGATGGCCGGAAGTCCAATCTACGCGCAGACCACACGGCACTGGGTGTCACTCGCGCTTCACAGAGAGAAGTTACTGGATTTGGGAATCTTTCTGTGTGGAGTTTGTGTGTTCTCTTTCCCCCTATTCTGCATGGGTTTCCTCCGGGTTCTCCATTGTTCTCCCATAGGGTAAAAGCCCATACAGTGTAACTGGTATTGGCTAAACAACATCCCAATGCTGAAAAATAACCCACAAATCACTCAATTGTGGGGATTGTGTGAGGAACTCAGAAATCCTTGAAAGATCTGGCCAAAGTCCCATCGGTGGGCTCCTCCGGCAGGTGAGGCTGCGTTGGCTGGATCACGTAACCCGCATGCCCAGCTACCGCATGCCTAAGCAGTTTCTGTTTGGCCACAGAGGTGTCTAAATGGGTACGATATGGCCTACAGAAGAGATGGGGTGTTGGGATGTGTAAAAGACTTTAGTTTTTACGTGGAGGGAGAGTACGTCGGGGAGGTGTGTTGCGTGCGTATTGAAGGTGATTCGGCGTGGGTGAACGCGCTGGAGGAGACCCGGCACGGAGCCTCAGCAGGCTCTGGGGTGTCACGCGTCGTGCTACCTCGCGCAGATAGCGGCTGTCGGTTGCGGCGGGGAAGATTTCTGTCTTCACGTCCAGGTTCCTGTGCAGAGGCAGCACGAGAGGCCCACGTGGCCCACGCAGATTAGAACCATCACCCTCCGCTCGTTGCAGAGGTTCGTGGCTCAAGTCCAGCAGGCCACTCTGGTTACCACTGCAGGGGGATTCGCTGTAAAACCTGCGCTGTCTGCTCTACAGCAGATGTGAAAGATCCCGTCACATTCGAAAAGAGTAGCCATTGTGTGTTGGTGTCACGGTCCACATTTACTCAATTTGAAAAATCACACCGCAAATTACTCTATTTGGATCACACCTGCAGTCGCAGAAACATCGCCCGAGTGTGGGAACTATTGCAGACTGTGAAACAGCGGTGCTTTCCCTCGTGACGATTGCCCTGCGTTGTGAGAATGAAGGCACCAGTACCCAACGTAATCGATTACAAAGGTCTACAATTTTTTAGACGTCTGCTTCAGAGATGCAATGTGATGTTTATTATGCATTTTGATATGCTGAATTCAAATGACAAAACAACTGGTTGGCTACTGTTCTCAAGATATTTAAGTTTTCACATTTTATGTCTATGTATATTGTGTAGATAGAGTTTTACTCATAAGTTGTAAACCTAGGTCTTTTCATGTGTTTATGGTTGCTTTACATGATAACATGTCACCTGTCCTGTTCATGTAACACTTTGAAATTCAGCAAAAAGGTTATATAAATAAAATGTATTATGATTCAAAAAGCAAAAAAGATGATGTATATATAAGTACATAGTTTAGTCCTTATTCAGTGTCTACTCGGCGCTTCTTGGCTTGTCTCTTGTATTGGATCATCTCTTGTCACTGTCCAGCCATAGTCTGCAAGCATTGATGGGCTCCATTTGCCCTGAGAGCGTTTCTCCATCGTCGCAATCTCCTGGTGACATTGCTCGCCGTGCTCGTCGCTCACTGCTCCGCAGTTCGGTGAGAAAAAATCGAGATGAAAGTGCAAACAATGTATCTTTAGTGGCATGTTGCAACCAAGGCTTTTGTATGCCTTGAGATTTCCCACCAACTCCCTGTAGTCGTCTGCCTTGTTGTTTCCGAGAACATGTGTTGCCACTAACTGGAAGGCTTTCCATGCCGTCTTTTCCTTGCCAGGTAGTGCACTGTCAAATGCATCATCTCGAAGAAGTTCACGAATCTGAGGACCCAACAACGACACCTTCCTTTATCTTAGCCTCACTTAACCTTAGAAATGTTCCATGGAGGTACTTGAAAGCTGCTTGTGTTTTGTCCATGGCTTTGACAAATTTCTTCATCAGACCCAGCTTGATGTGTAAATGTGGTAACAAAATCTTCCTTGATTCAACAAGTGGTGGATGCTGAACACTTTTCCTCCCAGGCTCCAATGACTGTCGGAGTGGCCAATCTATCTTGATTTAGTGGGAATCTCTCGCACGACCATCCCATTCGCAGAGAATACAGCAGACCAAGCGAAAGAGCAACAACCTTCAAATCAAACTTGATTTGAAGCTTTCGTGAATGCAGGAATTACTCTGTTTCTTTCGGTAAAGTCACGTAGAAAGAAAATAAATTAAATAACAGAATACGACGTTTCGATTGCAGCACAAGCAGTCCTCATCAGGTAGAACTACATTTGAGAGAAAAAAAAACACAGACACGGAGACACACAGACAGACAAGCAGAGAGAGACAACACAGAGACACAGAGAGAGACACAGAGAGAGACACACAACATAGACACACAGAGACCCAATGTCTCTGTGTCGTGGCCTTAAATAGAGAGAGGTGGGGTGGGGCAGAGAGAGAGGTGGGTCTGCTGGAGCAGAGAAATTAGCATGTCAATGAGAGAGCTGTGAGAAATTGAGATCCCTTCCCTGTATAAC